CCCTGTACCAAGGAAGGGTGTATTTTCTTTCCCTTTTCTCTAGCCTGCAAACAGGCCCCCAAGTGGAGAAAAATGAAAATTGATGACAAAGTGAGCAGAGCATGGCCTGAGGGAGAAAAATGGTTGGGGTGGGGGGTTGCTGTAGACTTTGTCTTGATACCACCCATCAACCCACTTGCATCCTGTAACACAAATGTCAATGGATGGGGTGAATCAAAACAAAGTCTACACCCCACCACCACCACCATTCTTTCTCCCCCAGGTGATGCTCGGCTTGCTTAGCTCACTAATTTTCTTTTTCACCGCACTTGGGACTTCCTTTTCCCTATAAATTCTGAGGCCCTCACCCCAACTGATCCCTCCTCTCTTTACTAACTGAACCAACCAATGCAGCTGTCATCTGGTTAATGCAGTTATATACAGGATCCCCACTGCTGAGAAGGACACGTCCATGACTAGACCACCAGCAAGAGTACTTAAAGGGGCTATGTCACGAGGGTATTGTTGTTCTTGTTTTTAGTTTTTTTTTTTTCAATTCTACAATAGACCTTATTCACGATACCCGCCATCTTTGCACGAACTCAAGGACTGATGGGATAAAAGCAAGGTCAAGTGGTTTCTCAGGGGGCAAACAAGTGAAAAAAATGGCCGGTAGAAGAAATTGTGGTTGAGTTTGTTTATTCAAGACAACAGGAAATGAAGACCTTTTCATCTTAAAGAAGATGATGTCAAAATATGGGTGGAAGTGATCATAGCTACTTTTTTGTATGCAGTAGCGACAGTAGATCAATGTCCTCGTGGCAAACAGTAATAAAGCAAATCTTGCCAAAACTCGATATGTACATTTTGCATGACTGTGAAATCATTGTCTTGTTTTGATAGAATAAACAAACTCGATCATGATTACTCGTATTGGCAAATTTTATCACTTGTTTGCCCCCTGAAGTACCCATCAATCCTAGAGAAACTGCAAAGATGGCGGGCATCATGAATAAGGTCTATTCTGTGCTGAAGTCATAACTTAGTACCTTTACCCATGCACAACGCTTTCTGGTAGCGTTATGAAGAACATATCAAATAGATTTAACAAAGAGCACTAAACAAGATATCTTGGTCATTTTGCAGGCAGAGCATAAAAACTTGAACATGGTACTAGGTTGGCTGGAAGTTTTCCAGCTTCAGTCCATGCATGTCTATCCTTGCTACTCGATCATACCAATGTACAACAGGAAACAGTTTTAACTTGCATCAGTTGGTTATACGACAGGAAACTGTCAGCTTCAATGCCTAAATATATTCTTAGATAACAAATTGGACCATTATTATTTTTGGAATTCAATTGATGCAGACACATTTTAGCTTTTAAAGATATAGAACAATGATAGAAAATGGTGTGTCATGGCTCCCTTGAAGGGACCATAATTATGTAACATTTGCTATCTTTTAAAAAAACTAAAATATGCCATTTTACAGGTATGGATGGAAGCGAGGCTGGAGGTGACCTTGTTTTGATACAAACATTTCTGTTTTATTATGTAAAACAAGTTGTTCTTATGCTAATTAGTATTTTCAAGGACAATTTCCATAACAAAGCCAAGAAGGTTTGTATCAAAACAAGGTCAACCTGAGCCTCACATTCACTCGAAGGCTAGGGTACTAAGACCACAACTGTAAAATGGTCTAATTGCATAAATAGGACCAGTTATGTTATTTAAGACCATATTTTATTGTGTGTTTTCACATGACGTCGTGGCGGCCATATTTGTCTCCTAAAACAATGAAACGGCGGCCATGTTTGTGTCCCAAACCAGTCCTGAGGGAGTTGAACTCTTTTCTTATTTTAACGCTTTCTTTTGCTCCAAAAAATTTGCATAGATGCTGGCCACGTGACTGAAAACACAGAATGGGCATTGAAACTGTTTGCTGCTGTCTGTTGTTTAGCCTGAGAAAACAACCAAAATTTGGCGACGCTACCACTGGTTTCCCTGTCAAATGATGTCTGAGAAACAAGCACTGAACTTCTGTACTGATGACTGGTCACTAACCAGATCAGGGTAATGCTTCTGATTGGTTAAATCAAATTTCCCATGCAGCACGACAAATCAGAAGCACTACTTAGATCTGGGTAGTGACACATCATCAGTATGGAATTTCTGCGCTCGTTTTTCAGATGTCATTTGGTGGGGAAACCAGTGGTAGTGTTGCCAAATGTCGGCCGTTCTCTCGGGTTATCTGTTGCTTTGGAAGGCAAGGATGTACATGGATTGAAACTTGAAAAAGTTGGGCCAACTTTTACAGGTTTCAATGCTATAACTGCAAAAATGACCGCAAAAATTATTTTGGTTGGTGCTTCTCGATAAAATTTGTCTCACATCTTCTTCATAACTCGACAGGAACATTTTGTGTATGGAAAAAGTCTTTAATGTTATGACTTCAGCGCAGAAATAACCTAACACAGCAATATCCTCATGATATAACCCCTTAAAGACACACTACTAAGATCACTGTCTTATGATTTACAAAATCAAGGTGGTGTACTGCAGTGGCTGGTCAGAGATATCAGGCCTGGAGCCTTCTCTACTGGACCTACGGGTGTGGGGGAATTTTAAAATATTTATTATACGGGCATACACGCTAAAAGAACATAAACAACCACCCTTCATTGTGAGGGTGGGGGAGATGCAATTAATGTCAATTAGGGATGCAGGTTCCATCTCCTGATTTTTTTAAGGCAAACTATGCTACGTAGGCAATTTTTTTTCTCAAGTCTACCAATTCAGAGTTGGGTTAAGTTTTCCAATGCCCCCACCCCCTACAAACTACACAAAAAGCAATTTACCTTGCAACCCTCGACCCTAGCCTGAGAAAAGAGCAACATCTCACAACACCACCACTGATATCTTCGCAAAATGGCATCTGAGAAATGAGTCCAGAAATTCCATGCTGACGACGTGTCACTGCCCAGATCTGGGTAGTGCTTCTAATTGAAGGGTTCGTACCCTTTTTTGAACAAAAAATTTAAGGACTTTTCAAGGACACTTTTCCCATTTTTGAAGGACTCCATTCAGTGCAAAAAAGAGCCTTGAGTCTGTCTTTTTTAGTTCTTCCACAACTTGAGTAATTTTATCTCAAAGGTCTTTCTGTGTTTGCTCCTTTTCATTGGAGTTCTACATAAGTTATAGGGTTAGCATCGAAATTCAAGGACTTTCCAGCACCGACTGCAATTCTCAAGGACTTTCAAGGCAGGAATTTCAAGGTGCCTGCAAACCCTGTGATTCGTCATGCCGCATGGCGAATTTGCTTCAACCAATCAGAAGCACCACTCGGATCTGGGTAGTCATGCATCATCAGTTTGGAATTTCTGTGCTCGTTTTACTGATGTCATTTCACGGGGAAACCAGTGGAGGCATTGCAAAACGTCGACAGTCTGTTTTCTCATGCTACCAACAACCCCAAAGAAACTCCATTTACTTTGTAATGCAGACTAAATTTTTTGTTTTCTGATGGGAATGTTCTAACAGAAATTTCTGTTCCATTTGTTGAAACTCATATTTGACACCAATGTCTGGCTTCCGCAGCCACTTGTTGTTAAAAGGAACTGATTTGTGCAAATGGTAAACACAAGGAAATTAACCAGTCCTGAATTTTTCTTACCATTTGCCTAAACCATGAACAACCTTGGATAACCCATAGATGGATCATATGAAAAGAGTCTGAAGTAAGCTTGTAGAAAGACCTTTTTTGCTTAAAACACAATTCTTATACAGGTATTCTGTACAATTTTCAAGTAATTTTACCCCAGAATATCAGGCCTGCTAATATCAATGCAATATCCAGGCACTTTGAACTTTTTTATAGTCAGGAGACTCTGTTGATTAGTGGATTTGACAGCATTTCTCAAGAAGTACATGTGGTAACCAACTTGAATCCAAGCAAATTTTCTATTTGATTGGTGGGTGATAACTGCTTGTAAAGAGCTTGACGCTGTAGGGAATAAATGCCAGGTGAACTATCATTTCATGATGATGTACATGTATTGAAGAGACGGCTAATGGCAAATACTCCACTTTACAGAAGTAGCAAAAATAAATATTGCCATATATCAAACTGTAGCATTATCCTCGTCATCAGATAGACTGAGAAGCTGATGAAGAATCCAACAGCAGCTGTAGTATGTGTCACTTCCACGAAAAAAATCAAATTCAAGAGAACTGTTGAATTCATGATGAAAGGCAATATCTATGATGTTCCACAAAAATGGTGCAAAAGCCATTATGTCTCGCAATTTCATGCCGGCTGCAAGATTGAACCAGACATCTTTATCATTCACAATCAGTTTAATGAACAACGTATTTCCACCTAATGTTACAGTCTGGAATTAAAAAGTATGTGAATACGCCAAGGACACTGGAAGCAATGAGGCAACACCTTTCACCTTCATTCCAAATGAACATGGATGTGAAGAGGTTACAGCCTTACTTCACTACAATTTCACGTTACCACTACACTGGTTATAAACATACTAAACCTACTAAACAATGATTTCAAACTTTTACGACTGTATAGACTGTCAAGCTATTATGCTTTCCTTCTTTAACAATGGAAACCTTTACCATTAGAGGTAAGTACGATTATACACTACTATGTAAATAATAAAAAGAAACTTTCTTTGGACTCAAACTTGGTTTAAGATGATTAGTGATTAATATGCTTCTCGCTGCTTCAGAGACTGGAATGCAAATGCCTTTCTTGTGATAATGACTTCAACTGTGACTTATTAAAGAAAAAAACTTTCTACTTTGGCTTGTTACTAGCATCAAACTGTTGATTGATTCACTCAGTAGACAAGATGAAAGTCAACCGTCAATCAGTTAAGGTGACCAAAGAAACAAACTGATTACAAACTTGATTAGTGCATTGCTTCGACATCAACACAAGGAAAGTAAAATTCACAGTTGAAATCTTTTCACAACACTTAAGTGCAGACAATATCGCAAATATGTATTTAAAGTTCACAGTTCCATTACTTTAAGGAAAAAATATCTCCATTTGAAACTTGTGAAAATAAATGCAGCAATAAACTGATAAAAACAGAATTAAGTCTTGCTTTGCTGGGCTGACTTGATGTTGCATAAATGAAGACCAGACTTGAAGAGCAAAAACTTGATGATAACATGAAGCCTGAACAGCAGCCATAAAGAGATAAAGATGCATTATGATATCTTTCAAGTTCCAGTGAAAAACAACAGGACATTGCAAAAGTTTATTCAGAAAAACTCTAGCCAGTTCTCTATTGATGAAGCAGCACTAAAACAAGACAACATGTAAACTTTTCCACTCCATGTACAAACTGATTCTTAGCCACTGCCGCGGATAACAAGAATAACCAGATGATCTTCCTTCGATGGTTCAGGAGACAAATGAGGTGCAATGCGCATCAAATGCTCATGTGAAAATTGGCAGGGAGGAAATGCATGTAAGACGCCAACATCATCCTTTGTTGTAGCAGGGTTTCCAGGTATTACAGGAAGATTAACTACAGCAGCAGCTTGTTTCTGCTTGAGATATGTCATAAGATTCCTCAACGGTCGATGCTGCAGGGCTTCCTCAGAATTTGGGTCTTCAGGTAGTGGTGTTTGCACACCCGGCAAAGCAAGTAGCAAGCAATGACCACTTGCACCAGCTGTGTTGATCCTCCGGGTAACTTCTTCCAGTTTTGGTTGGTCCAAACGCAGACGCTGAGTAATCCGCAAAATAGAACTCTGGGAAACAGAAGAACCATCTGAACGAAGCAGTGAGTCAGCAACTTCAGGATTTCCACCAATGAAATGCATGCGAACAGGAAAAGCACTATTCTTTAAAATTAGTGCCCCACGCCAAGCAACAGCAAATCTTTTAACCAGGTCTTGTAAGGTTTCTGTTCCCGCTGAGTTAGAGATCTCATTTTCTTGCCTTGGTAACTCATTTGTTTGCACATCTTTCGCAGAATCTTCCTTGATGCTAGAATTCTTGTTCTCATTATCATCAGCTGAATTGGATCGTTTCCTCTCATCACCATTACCAGTATTCAAACTATCACCATGACGGGACCGACTGAAGCGATTATCCAAAGAACCTGAACGAAGTGAATCTGAAGGTGAGGTTGGACGTGAGTGGTTGGCATGATTTGGAGAGGGAGATCTAGTTCTTGGGCTTCGACGGCGTTTAGGGGGACTACCATGGTCCCTGTAATCTTTGGTCCGTAAAGGGGAAGGCGGCCTGCGCTTTCGAGTCCTGTTGTTGTCAACTTCTCTCGGTGGTAAAGGTGAATGGTCAATTGGCTGGTAATTATCCACTGGAGGTGCCCTCTGTCTGTAGCGTTGTCCTCGTGAATTTCTGTCCTGAGATCGCTTTTCCCAGTTGTCAGACTCATCAATGCGCACATTATGCTCATCCCTTGGCCAGCTGTTAGAACTGTTATAAGACCGCTGGGGAGGTAGATCATGTTGTCGACCCAAATCAGGTTTATAGGAATTACCTTCCTCACGCCAGTTTCTGAATTCACTTTCGTTCCCAGGGTGTGATTCGCGGCGGTACGGTGACGGATCACGCTTGCGGTCGTACATTCGATCACTTTCGTAGGTCCTCTCTACCGAAAACAAATCATCGTCAACTCTGCCATCCACGTTGTTGATACGACTCCTCGGAGGACTCGGTGGTTGTCGAAGACGAGGGTCTTGTAAATGGTCTTTATCAGCGAAATCAATCTTTAATCGACGGTCGCGGCCGCCGAGTGGAAATCCACGCATTTCTCGAGCGGCCACAGACGCAGCATCCAAACTATCGTACAAAATGTAAGCATGGTCGTCGCCCTTTTCATAATCGATCTGTCTGATAGCTCCAAAGCGGTCAAATTCGCGTTCCAACTCAACAATCGACGTCCACTGCCCTAACCCACCCACCCATAACCGGGTGGTTTGTTGACTTTTCCCGTAGCCGATTTTTACGCGGTTACGACCGATTGTTTCTCCTTGCATTTCTACCCTCGCCTTAGCAGCAACATCAAGGTCTGCAAACTTCACAAATGCGTACGTATTCCCTTGTCCGCGAGCTGGCCGTTTAATATCCACGTCCAAAACTACTCCGAACCGCTCAAAGGCACGACGCAATTCTTGGCTAGAAATGCTCGTTTCCAAATTTCCCACAAATAGCGTACGGGTGGCTTTCGGATCGTCTTCCGGGGGAATGTACTCAGCAGGCCGAATTTGACTTTGTTGTCCATAAGAACCACCAGTTCTGTAGTTTCTACGGTCGTTATCTCCCCGATTCCGGTCAAGATCAAACTGCTGGTTATTTCGTTGAGTTCTGCGTGGAGGGGATAGCGATCGGCTGTAGTTCTGCGGGTACTCGTTAGGGCTATAACTCCGTCGTGACGTCCTTTCTTGAAAATCATAATCTACAATAACTACACGGTCAAACAGCATAAGACGTCCACGGCGTTCAATAGCACGCTTTGCTTCTCGAGCATCGTCGATGTTTCGAAAGCAGACAACTCCATAACGGTCGTCATCCCGTCCAAACAAATGCACGGTCATCTCACCGCTCCCGAACTTCTTGAACTCGTGGAATATTTCCTGTTTCATTGACTGATCTCCAATATGGCTGGCAAGGTTTGAGAGTCGAATTTGATGTTCCGACTCTCGGTCGGTTCTTTTTCGCGGATTTTGATAATTATTTTCGTTTCGCACATTTACGTTCGAGCTGCGCTTATACGTCCTAACGTCGAGCTTTCTTGTCAAAGAAGAACTTCGACGAATCGGGGAGCCACTATCCCGCGCACTATCCGGGGAAGACAATCGATCTCGCACACCGTTATCGTCGAATTCCCTTTGAGAACGAATTCGCTTAGGTTTCGTAAGCGTCTCTGAATCAGAAGACCTCTTCATGACCATTATTTGTCCGCCTCCTCCGGAAAAGTTTATAAAGTACTCAGCTAACTTATTACCAACATAAATCCAAGATGGCGGTTAGTAATTTGGCTGTTGTAGTGCATGGTGACGTACACGTGGGGTACAAATACTTATGGTATAGAGAATTTATTCAACAATCAACAACGTGAAAACTCTACTGCCTTACTGTTTCTTGTCAAGGATACGAAACTCTTAAGAAATAAAAAAATTTCTGAGCTACAATAGAGCATCTCTAGGTCACAACATTCTTCATATAATTATTTCGTCCCCGCAAAATAAAATTAAAAAATCATGAAGTCAAGGAACTTGTCCGAATCGGCTTCTCCTACTGATTTGTTTTAATATTCTTCCAAGGTAACTTCTGCGCCAATGGCGTTTGAGCATTTGATCACAAAGGGCCAAAAATCGCCAGATGTCCATTTACTGCAACGCACTATTTCGAAAACGAAAGTTTTATCTGACAATCAAAGTTTGACTGAAACAGGAAACGAAATCCTTATTTTCACCTGAAAAAAGGGTTAATTATTTTTCCTGGATAAGTTTTCGCAAAAAAAGTCAGTAAGGGATTCTAACTGGTTCGGCAAAAGATCAACGATTTTACAGCTGTTCCGAAGCACTTGTTATGCAAATTTTTCCTAGTTTTCATAAACTTTCAAGAACAGTGAATCAGTGAAACGAAGCGCGCGATATGAATAAGATTATTTCGATTTTTACAGGACCTTCTTCCTGCCTTAAATACGTCTTCAGAAGACTTCTCTGTTCCAGCAAAAATAACACCGATGCTCCAATTTTAATTACAAAAAAAACGACCAAGGAGCTTCAAAACACTGTTAATAATGTAATCCTTCCCAAATCATTAATCAAAAAAAACAATGACGTTTTGCGGAAAAAATACGAAAATATCACTAGTATTCCGCTCTATTTCTGCTTTTCAAGATCAGTTTTTACATGAGTAGAAACGGTTCAACAGTTACTCGCGTGCAGAAATTCTAAGAAGGCAAAAATTAAATAACAGGTGTTTAATTAAAATTTAAGGAAGTTATAAAAGTCACCCTCGTTCAGTTATTCCTATAACGGATGCAACTAAGTGAAAAACGTTTGAAATAGTTTTTGGAAAAAGTACTATCTTTAAACAAGCAGCCTTATGTTCTCTGTTGCTCAGTAAATAAAAACTGACTGGGTATTTAAAATTAATTCTAAAATGATCGAAAACGTTTCACGATTCAGCCACTTTTCACTGTTTACAACGCCTTTCACCGTGAAACCGGGTTCGAGTTTTTCTTCCCATGGGCAGTTTGAGTTTGATCGCCGCGTAACCGCAAACCGTGAAACTGATCAAATCCCAGAGAACCGGCCCAACCCAAGCTATTTCCCCAAGGCGACCCTTGGAAAAAGGTATTGTATAATAACCGCACCTATTAAATCCAAGGTCCTATATTGGCCCAGCTGAACTATTCTCTTGTCGTTGAAAAAACATTGGCGGATCCAGGGGAGGGGCCCGGGGGGCCCGCACCCCCTTTTTCTAAGACCAAACTGAGGCCCGATGGGCCGAAAAATTTTTTTTGAAACTGCCCCTCCCCCCTTATCTCAGGGTCTGCATGACCGTCCCCCCCTATCTGAAGGTCTGGGTCCAAAAAAAAACTAAGGTTTAGTTTTATCCCCTTCTGTTTACCGGGGTTGGTCAGGAACCCATTACTCGGAGCGAGAAACTCCCATACAAGGCCTATGTTATGTTAGCCTGAAAAGACAGCAGACATTTGGTGACGCTACCACTGGTTTCCCCGCCAAATGACGTCTAAGAAACGAGCGCAGAAATTCCATACTGATGACGTGTCCCTACCCAGATCTGGGTAGTGCTTCTGATTGGTTGAATCAAATTTCCCACGCGGCACGACCAATCAGAAGCACTACTCAGATCTGGGTAAAGACGCATCATCAGTATAGAATTTCTGCGCTCGATTCTCAGACTCGATTCTTAACTCTTGAATTGCTTTACGGTCTGTTTCAGCTTGAGGGCCAACCGTCGTTCCCAGGTTCTTTCTCCTACCCGTCTCTCTCTCTCGCTTTGTAGGGACGGGTCGGAGAAAACCCTGGGAACGAGGTTACTTAAGGGCAGGGTCCAGTGAATTCCAAAGTTTAACAGTTCTGAAATAAAAGGTTCTTCGTCATGTGGCGGTGTTATACAGAGGAATCATTGATGTAACATCGATCTGGGAGTTCATCGTGGTACGCTTAGTAATGCTAGCTCTTTGAACATATTTAGAAAATAATGAATATGGTACACACCCAGTCATACATTAAAAAGCGGTAGAAGAGATGCTGTATTACTGGTAGCCACTGCAAATCCTTATGTTGCAAACGATACGGGCCGCAAAATTTTGCACAGCTTGGATCCTATTCAGGTTGTGTTCATAGGTGTTGCTCCAGGCATCATTTATAAAGTGGCGAATGGAAAACGCCCACGCAACGTGACCTTTGTGGTCGGGTGAGCCCCTTGTTTGAGGCTGACATATTGATTCAAAGGATTTTGCTGAGTGATTCAAGAATCATGATATTTTTGCATAAACCTCCACTCTTAGGGTGCTATATATGTATATAAGACTCGTTGGTATGAAATGAAAACCTCTTCAGTCTTACATTAACTGTGACTCAAAACTATGGCAAACAAGGACAAGTACGCCCATCTTCTGGAAGATAAGGAGTTCGTGGAATGGTTTTGGTCCGGCCAGAATGGTAATACATTAATTAAGAATTTGAACCGCAACAAAAGCAGAGAGGAGATTGTGAGGCGAGAAAAATATTCCCCGTATGCGTATGGAATCGTCCTAAATGTGAACCAAGCGAAGAGATTCGAGGAGGACATCGGTGAAAAAGTTGAAGAAGACCTTAAATTTGTTAAAATTGGTTTCACCCAACAAGAGACACACAGTGCTTCTAAGAACCGAATGACAGACGTAAAGACAAAAATTGATGCCAAATACGAAGGTAAGACTGCAGTGCTGTGTGTTGTCATGAAGAATCCTGTTGATACCTTAAAGCACTCCGAGTTTGAGAAGAATTTTAGGAATAGATGGGGAATGCCTGTGTCTGATGAGTGTGCAAAAAATAACGATTTACCTTTTCATACCGAGTGGGTACTCGCAACCCAGGATCATATTGATCAGATGATAACGGTCATCGATACAGCGACAAAAGAAGGAAACCGAATGGATGCCAGCATATTCAAGGGCATGAGATTTGATGAAAAGAAAATTCCTGAGAAACTTCGGCTAAAATATCGTAGAAAATAATTTAGAACCATAAACATAACTAATGTAGAAATTGTAGGCAGTTCAGAGTTTGACTTTTTAATGATGCACATTAAATTGTAATGTCATTTAAATACTCTGCGATTGTACTGTGAACAACCTGATAGAATTAGACCAAACCGCCTACGAATTCGATATCAGTTCCTCGATTTCTATCCAGTCATCTTGAACATCAAGGTTCTTAGTCCGTTGCCCACATGATGTGTTTGGGGTAAACAATACTTGATCTTAGTGATGATGCTTGTCGATTCACAAAAGTAGGTAAATGTATATGGGACTCAGGCAGCATTTACTTTGGACTGATTAGTAAAGGTTAATCCGTTTCGTTTTCACTTATCCTGTAAAAGTTTTATCAACTATGACTGACATTTACTTGGTGGAAGATATACAGCACGCATATGTTTCTTAACTACTTTACTCGTTGTATTGCAACATCAGGACGTACGTTTTAAGCCGCAAACGCAGCGAGAAAATTTGAGCTAAGGGAGCAGCTACATTTAATAGTTCACATAATACTGTACATAATGTTTAGCATTTTCCCAACCTAATACTACACCGGTCAGACATGCAACTCTAATGTATTCGATCAGGCTCCTGAGTCGATTTAAAAGTCGACATTTATTTTCAAGTACTGAAAAGCTGCATGTAAGAAAAAAAAATAGGATTTGGCCATGGTAGCTAGACGTTTGAATTAGTTGAGAGCGTCCAGGAATTAAATCAGAATTCTTCACCTATACCAGCTGGGATCGTGGGTGTGTGTTTTTATAAGGAGGTAACCTTTCTACAACCCATTTAACTAAGGGTTAAGTAGTAATTACGCATTAAAAACCCTCGTCACGGAGGAACATGTGAAAAGTAGATCGATAGACATTCAATAATGAAAATAACGATAACGAACGAACGACAACGATGATGATAATGACGATGATGATGATAACGATGATGATGATAATGATAATGATAATGACGATGATAATTCGTTGAATTACAAGAGCACTGAAAAAAAGAGAAGGAAGTTCGGCCTCTTCCAAGTACCCCTCTGGGAAGGAATAAGTGTTCCTTCTGACGGACTATACGGGATATTCCGAATAGAGCTACCTATTAAAGGGTAGGGCTTTCACAAACTGAGAGGAAAGGGTAATAAAACTGAGATGCACTTACTGGCGGACCTATTAAGTAATGCGGATGTCAACGGATGTCCACTAACGGTAAAAAATGGATGAAGCGTCTTAAAGCAGTTATAGCGAAGAGGTACCATTTTCTTTGGGATATCAAAGGCTAAGGGTGTGGACCTCGGGGTGGGGGCAGACAGGGGTTGTTGGGGAGCATCCCCGAACACAACTTTGTTTCATTTACACCCCAAAGATATTTTCAGAACTTTTTCGTAAATTCGCTACTTAAGAAGAGGATGGCATTGGAATTTAGATGCGTCCCGCAATTTTTTCCCATCGCCCAGAATTCTATTGTCTTGTGCGAGATGTACTTACAGTGCCCAGTTTCTCAATGCGCAGCATAATAATTGAATAAATAAACTTTCGGAAAGCCAGCTAAATGCCAACTACTATGGTAAAAGAATCGGTAGCTGTCAATCAAACGGTTTGATGCGTGAAGTGCGAATCTCTATTGTAAATCTCTAGGTGTGAAAGTGAGTACGAACTTTTTGGTGAATTCGCCAGTTAAAAAGAGAAGGAAACTGGAATCTAGATGCGTCCCGCACTTGTTTCCCGGCGGAATCGTTACTGGGGACAGGCCGGTCAGGTACTAGGGACCTTACGATCCGACAAAGGCGACGACCATGAAAATGTCGCTGAAAAATAGACTTCGCGTCTTTTCACCTTTTTTCGCGATTATTCTAAGGGGCCCAGTTAATTGAAAGAAGGTAATTTGTGTAGGTGGAGCTGAAGAAAGGGCACCCCGCCCGACCGTCTGACAGAGATGGTAGATCATGGAAGAATTTATCCCTTTGCCATTCCCGTTCCTAAAATTTGGTCATTTCACGCCGTAGTTATGCAGGGACTGCGAAGAAATGTACAAAAAAACGTGGTGCACGTGCAGAGTTGTTGTGTTGCTCATTAAACCTATTGCTATTTTGACGTCCCTGTTGTAGTTCCTAAAGGTCCCTATGAAGGAGCTTAAGCAAAGACGATTTTGAGCAACGCACTTTAACTGGAAGTGTGGTCCTTTCCTTTTCGATATCCCTTGATGCTACCAAATTTGTATTGCTAAGTGACTTTACTCTTAAAGAGATGATTTACCCGAAAACAGTTGGGCAAAATCGCTGCCCAAAAATGTAATGAGTCCCCTTCCGGTTGACGCGCGCTCGTAACAGTCCCAGAAGTCTTTGCGAACGTTAACTCTGCCCAGTTCCCCTCTCGTTCCTTAAGTGGCGAATTTAAAACGCCACGCGGAGTGACCATTGGTCAAGGCATGGTCGGGTGAGCCGCTTGAATGATAATGACATATTAGTTCAAAGGATTTTGCTGAATCATTCCAGAAACAATATATTTTTGCATAAACCGCCTCCCCTAGGGCGCTATATAAGACTCGTTGCTGTGAAATGAAAACCTCTTCAGTCTTGCATTAATTGTGAGTCAAAACTATGGCAAACTTTGGTGACTACTACCACCTAGTTCAGACGGACGATTTTAAGAAATGGTTTTGGTACGGCCAGAATGGTAATACATTAATTAAGTATTTGAACAGCGACAAAGGAAGACAAGAGATTGTGAGGCGAGAAAAGAATTCCCCGTATGCATATGGAATCGTCTTGAATGTTAACCTCCTCGGTGACCAATTCAATGCTCTTAAACTTGTTAAAATTGGCTTCACTCAACAAGGCACAGGCAGCGATTGCGAAAACCGAATGACACAAGTATGTAGAGAAATTGAGAGGCATGGCCCACACCTGCAAGGTAAGACTGCAGTGCTGTTTGTTATCATGAAGAATCCTATTGATACCTCAACGCATTCCGAGTTTGAGACGAATTTTAGGAAGAGATGGGGAATGCCTGTGTCTAATGAATTTGCACTAAGTTACAATTTACCTTTCCATACCGAATGGGTACTCACAACCCAGAGTTTTATTGTTCACATGTTACAAGTCATCCAAGCAGCAAGCCAAGGAGGAAGGATTGATGCCAGCATATTTAAGGGGATCACATTTGATAGTGAAAGGTACCTTCCTCCAGGATTTCTACAATATCGTAGAAATTAATTCAGAACTATAAACATAACTGTTGTAGAAATAGTAGCCAGATCAGAATTTGACTTTTTAATGATGTACATTACTGAAATTGTAATTTCATTTAAATACTCTGCGATTGTACTGTGAAATATCTGTCAAAATCTGATTGAATTAGACCAAGCCGCCTACGAATTCGATATCAGTTCCTCGATTTCCCTTCAGTATCTTGATCGCCAAGGTTCTCAGTCTGTTACCCATATGTTTGGGGTAAACAAATACTTGATGATGCTTGTCGAATCACAAAGTAGGGAAATGTATATGAGGACTCAGGCAGCACTTTACTTTGGACTGATTAGTAAGGGTTAATCCGTTTCGTATTTACTTATCCTGTAAAAGTTTTATCAACTATGACTGGCATTCACTTAGTGGAAGATATTCAGGACTTATACGACGCATATGTTTCTTAACTACTTTACTCGTTATATTGCATCATCTGGACGTACGTTTTAAGCCGCAAATGCAGCGAGCAAATTTGAGCTAAGGGAGCAGCTACATTTAATAGTTCACATAATGTTTAGCATTTTCCCAACCTAATACTACACCGGTCAGACATGCAACTCTAATGTATTTGATCAGGCTCCTGAGTAAATTTAAAAGTCGACATTTATTTTCAAGTACTGAAAAGCTGTAAGAAAAAAAAAAGGATTTGGCCATGGTAGCTAGACGTTTGAATTAGTTGAGGGCGTTCAGGAAGTAAATCAGAATCCTTTCCCTATACCGGCTGGGATCGTACGTGTGTGTTTTTATAAGCAGGTAACCTTTCTACAACCCATTTAACTAAGGGTTAAGTAGTAATTACGCATTAAAACCCTCGTCATGGAGGAACATGTGAAAAAGTAGATGGATAGACATTCAATAATAAAAATAACGATAACGAACGAACGACAACAATAATGATAATGACTATGACGATGTTAATAATAATGATAATGCTAATGGTGATGACGATGATAATTCGTTGAATTGTAAGAGCACTGAAAAACAAAAGGCAGAAATGCGGCCTTCCCCCACCTCTGGGAAAGAATAACTATCCCTTCTGACGGACCATACAGGATATTCCACCCGAGACGGTATCTTTTTCCGAATAGAACTATGTTGGAGGGTAGGGATTTCACAAACTAAGAGGAAAGGGTAAGAAAAACTGAGACGCTCTTACTAGCAGACCTATTATAATGCGTGATGTTAACAGATGTCCACTAACGGTAAAAAATGGATGAAGCGTCTTAATGTAGTTATAATGAAGAGGTACATTTTCAATGGGATATCAAAGGTTAAGGGTGTGGACCTAGGGGTAGGGGGAGGTGGGGGTTGTTGGGGAGCATCCCCTTACACAACTTTGTTAAAAACCTCAAGGTGCCCAAAAGAAATACGTACGGCATCACATCAAGGGCCAGGATCAGGAGAATTCAGTCTCAGAAACACCTTCTCGCATCAGTTGAAGCATCAGTTTCGAAAGGGCGCGAGTTTCGTTTGTTTTCTCATGGAAACACAGAAATAGAATACTCTGTGCGTTCCAGTTATATCTCATTTTCCAAAGACTGTTAAACGAACTTGCGCGATCTTTTGATCGGGAATAGCAGCCTAGTCCTAAGGCGTTCTCGGCTCGGTCAATCCTGGTCTCTTCCGTGAGCTGTGACGCCACCAAAAGACTCCCAGAGAACTCTCGGGAATTCTCTTGCCCGTTCTTTCCCAGACTTCGCGCGGAAAACAGGGCAAGAGAGAACGCCTAGAGACTAGGCTGGATAAATAACTCTCTATCAGAATAGTTAAACAACGGTAAAGAGGTTTGTAAAATATAAAGTAGTTTTATTTAGTCATAAATGTTAATAATAATTACATCAGTGTTAAAATAAGTATATTAAAGATGAAACAACAACAACATGATATTAATTTGAGGAGGACTCGGAAAAAAAATCCGAGTCCCAGATGGGATTTGAACCCACGACCCTCCGTGATCTAGTCGGATGCTCTAACCACTTGATAACAAAATCATTTTTGAAGGAGAAATTAAGGATGCAAATACTAAGCAGTGTTTCATCCGATTTCCAAACACTCATTAAACATTAATTTCCTTTGTATTTTCTTAATGAATTATTAATGAGTTTGAGAAACTTTAATAAAGGTATCATCATCATCATCATCATCATCATGACTGGCATTTACTTAGCACTTAGTGGAAGACATACAGAACGCATGATTGTTAACTGCTTTACTCGTTCAGCTTTTATATCTGCGATTGCAACGAGCACAGCCAAGCTGGATAGCAGCTAGTTCACATAATGTTTAGCATTTTCTCACCCTAATACTACTCAAGTCATGCAACTCCGTTATATTCGATCAGGCTTTTGAGCAGACATTCATTTTCTTATGTATTGAATGGCTGTAAGAAAGCAGTATGATTTGGCCATGCTAACCGACGTTTGATTTAGCTGAGAGTGTTCAGGGATTAAATCAGAATCTTTTACCTATGCTACCGGCGGGATCGTGAGCGTGTTTCTATAAAGAGGTAACCTTTATATAACCCATGCATTTAACTAAGGGTTATGTAGTAATTACGCATTAAAAAAATTTTCGCCATGGAGGAACATGTGAAAAGTATATGGCTGGACATTCAGTAATAAAAATAACGAAAACGAAAACGATTATGATAGTGATGATGATGATGTTAATCATAATGATGATAATAATAATAATAATGGTGATGACGAAGATAACTCGTTGGACCATAAGAGAACTGAAAAAAAAAAAAGGCAAAAGAAATACGGTATCACACCAGGGCCAGGATCAGGAGAGTTCAATCACACATGGGAAGTACTCACCCTTCTTCTCAGTTGAAGCATCAGATTGGAAAGGGCGCGAGCTTCGTTTGTTGTCTCGTAGAAACACAGAAATAGAATACTCTCTGAGTTCCAGTTATATCTCATTTCTCTGGAAAATAGTCTTTACAACCAAACAGAGCAAAGACTGTTAAACGAACTTCCGCGATCTTTTAATCGGGAATGTTAAACTCGTAGTCCAACTCCAGGGTAAATAGCAGCCTGGTCCCAAGGCGTTCTCGGCTCGGTCAACCCTGGACTCTACCGTGAGCTGTGACGTCACCGAGAGAGACTCGCTAAAAACTCTCGACAATTCTCCCGCCCACTCTTTCCCAGACTTCGCGCGGACAACCGGGAAAAAAGAGAACGCCTAAGGACTAGGCTAGATAAATAACTCTCTACCAGAATAGTTAAACAACGGTGAAGCAGTTTGTAAAATATAAAGTAGTTTTATTCAGTCATAAATGTTAATAATAATTACATCAGTGTTAAAATAGCGGTAGAAATTGACCTCCCAAAAACCAAATTTTAACTCTTGCGTAAATCAGTTTTCCCCAACACCCTTTAATATTCCAAATCCTCGTCTACTCTGAGCTATACAGACAACCTTAAAGAAAACTTTAAATTATGGGATCCTTCATAAAGGGTAGCGGAAATTGGGTACATTAGCAAGCAAAACTAGACCCGAAACGTGCTTAAAAGAGCTTTCGAAAAAAGGGATTCTTAACTGATAAATGAAGTTTAATAGAATAAAACTACATTGTAGTCGAGGCTCATACGATAAAACAATTACGGTTTGTAACCGTGCATCTCCAACCTTTTTTTGTCTAAGGATGGTCTTATGGTATGACCGTTCCAATGATGTTATTCGTTTTGTAAGTAGTTCTAACTTTTGAGTTTGTGGATGAAATCTTATAATGTGACCATTCAATTGAAACCTCTTCAGTAGTACTTTCACATGGTGCTATTTATTTTGTACGTAGTTCTAACTTTTGAGTCTGTGGATGAAATCTTATGATGTGACCATTCAAATGAAACCTCTTCAGCAGTACTTTCACATGGTGCTATTTGTTTTGTACGTAGTTCTAACTTTTGAGTCTGCGGATGAAATCTTATGATGTGACCATTCAAATGAAACCTCTTCAGCAGTTCTTTCACATGGTGCTACTTGTTTTGTACGTAGTTCTAACTTTTGAGTCTGTGGATGAAATCCTAAGGTGTGACCAATCAAATAAAAGCTCTTTTATAGTACTTTCACGTGGTACCATTTCTTTCTCCGTAAACCTTTTCTTGATAGTTGAAAACTGGCATTCTCGGGAGTGGCGGGAAAAGTTGCTCATAATCCCCACATCAACCTCGACGCTAAACTAATTCCTGTTGACTTCCCACCATATATATGCATATGCCGAAAAAATGACGGAAGGAAGTACTTCTGAAGCCTTGTTCCAATTAAGGACGCTAACACGCCCCCACCCTTT